AGGTTTTTTTCGGTTGAAAATGATCGAGAAATTTCGGACTTCGTCGGTTGAAAATCACCAGGAAATGTTAGATTTTTTGGGGGTTTCTTGATATAGTCTTTAAGAAAACGTCGAAAAAATTGCAAGTGTTGGCACTTTCCTCCTCTTTTTCAACATCACCCATATCATACCCCCCAAAAAATCCGACATTTCCTGGTGATTTTAAACCGAAAAAGTCCGAAATTTCTCGATCATTTTCAACCGAAAAAAACCTGGTGTTCGGGGTAGAGATGCCTCTACTTCAGAAAGTCGTAGCGACCGCATTCTGCACTTTAAAAGCTTTTTATTTTGTAGACAAAAACTTATGTCTTTTAAAAATACATATTTCAAATACGAAGTCTCTGCGCCGCCTCCGCCGGAAGTTATAGCCTTCCACTTTCCTTCACGTTTTTTGTAAGACCCTGTAAAAAGCTCCTTTTTGAAGGTCCCTCATTTCTCAAGATCTCTCCAAAATTTCGAAACCGGAGTTGTTTCTGTTGGAGAGGGAGGTATTTTGCCACATTTTTTGATACCTCCCGGATCCGAAAGTCCGAAATTTCTCGATCATTTTCAACCGAAAACACCTGGTTTTCGGGGTAGAGATGCCTCTACTTCAGAAGTTCGTAGTGCACCTCAGTTTGCACTCTAAGAGCTTGTTATTTCGTAGACAAAAACTGATGTCTTTTAAAAATACATATTTCAAATACGAAGTCTCTGCGCCGCCTCCGCCGGAAGTTATAGCCTTCCACTTTCTTTCACGTTTTTTTGTAAGGCCCTGTGCTCCCTCAAGGAAGTCATTACACTACTCCCTGTTCCTCAATTTTTCCTCAAATTCCAATATCCTCTTCCTCTCTCTCTCTCTCTCAAAACGCATGTCATATGTAATGTCGCTACCTGAGCGGGGCGAGGATTTCGGAAAATCAAGTTTTTTCCCTGTATTTATGGCTCATTGGAGATTGAAAACGTCTTGTTTCGCCGCCTGTCTTCTTCTTTGCGAAGAGAAGACGGATAATGTCCGGAGATTATGTATTCGGAAGAGATTTACAATTATGGAAGGGAAGGGGAAGGCAATGTGTTGTCAATGCGCGCGGGTTGCGCTGTAAGCCGGCTTAATTTTTGAGACTTTCTTTTCTCGGCGGAGGTTACCGAATGTCCTCCGGAGGCTTTGTTTGGAAGGTTCTGGACTTTTTGAGGAGGGGAGAAAAGTGCGACGAACAGATTTTAAAAAAACTCGGCTCAAATTTAAAATATGTTTTGCTGAAATATGAGAGATTTCTAGCTTGCACTTTGCAGGAATTACCGAGATTTTTTGGTCGAAAGTTGGGGGAAATGTGAATTTTTTTGGCAAATTTTAGCATCAAAAATTTCGTATCTATTTCTGCCGTAGTAGGTAATGTTTTGACAAAAAATAGCTTTTTTTCGGACTGAAATCGGTGACGCGGATTCTGTAAAAACAAAAGTTTCCGTGCACTGTGCATTAGGCTTTTTTCAGCTGTCGCCCGCACCCTGACTTTTTTGCACAGTGCAAACGTCAAAAAATCAGTCCGGCGACTTTCCGGATCAATCTGGCACGAAATAATGAGCATAATGTTCCTTAGCTCGCGCTTTGCAGAAACAACCCAGATTTTTTGAGCAAAGTTTGGAAAACCTTTACATTTTTTAGCAATCTTTCGGCATAAAAAACAAGCTGCCCATTTCTACTGCAAAGAACAACATTTTCCCGCAAAACAATTCCAAATGCGTTTTTTCGCAGCACTGAAATCGACGATATGCACTGTGCAAAAACAAAAGTTTTCTTTGCACCGTGCAATTTCTTGCTTTTCGCACCGTGCAATAGGTTTTTGGGCTGTCGCTCGTACCTTGCCTTTTTTGTACAGTGCAAACGGCAAAAATCAGTCCTGCGGCTTTCCGAAAGGCCTGTTAAAATTTTCATAAAGTGTATGGACATTTGCCGCAGCCGGCACCATGATCAGAAATGCCCGGTTTTTGCACCGTGCATTCACCTTTTTTTTAGTTTTGCACTGTGCGAAAGCGAAAAAATGTCCATGAAATTTATGAAAATACTAATTTTACAACATTTACGGTAACACAAATTGCTCATTCCACTCGAAATTTTCCTATATTTCATAGAAAAAATTTATCTAAATTTGTGCCAAGTTTCAGCAAAATCTGAGCGTTTCACTTGGAGCACTTCCTCAATTATATGTAAAACATTGATGACACCCGACAAATCGCACATTCCAATCAAGTTTTTCCTCAAATTTCCCTTTCTCCGACCTTATTGTAACCTTTTCTGTCGATCTTCATTACTCCCACTTGACTGAATTCCCCTCGCTCTCGTCCTTAGCCGTAGGGCAATAAACCGTTATAACCGGTACCGTCTTCGCAGCGGTGTCTTTGTTTTCCCCCCAAAAATCTCGACGCTTTATCCGGGCGCGGATCTCATGGCGAATTTGGGAGATAAAAATCAATGGAATAATACAAGCGCGCCTCGAAATTCGGCGCAAAAATGGCGGATTTTGTTTTTATAAACGCGACAAATTTCGTTGGGATTCAAAAATTTTTCGGAATTTTTCGAATTTTTAATTTTTTGTGGAAATTTTTCAAATTTAGAAAAAAAAAATCGAAAAAAATTTTTTTTGAAATTTTGGCCAATTTTTGGCAAAATTTTTGAAAAAAAAAATATTTTTTTTAAAATTTTGCCCAATTTTTGGCAAAATTTTTTGAAAAAAAAATTTTTTTGGAAATTTTGCCGAATTTTTGAAAAAATTTTCCGAAAAAAAATATTTTTTCCCCATTTATCGACCAATTTATATTTTAAATTCCCAAAATTTTTCATTATTCAGATTCGAATCCCTTATTCACCGCTATAGCGCACAGTTTTTTATGAATTGCGAACATCTTTCCCTCACTTTAATAGCCTCGTTTACTATTATTCGAGAAAAATACTTTTCCCTTCGGTGTTTTTCTCGTGAAGGTCGTAAAATACAGGATCCACTGGGGGAAGAAAAGTTTTATTTATTTTTCGAAGCTGAGAAGCCGTACGGTCCGAGGAAAACTTATTGATGAAGAAAGGCCGGTTTGCGGGTAATTTTGACGAATTTTTGAAATATAGAAAAAGGCTAGCCATTGGTTGCGCTGAGCCTGAGAATTTTTAGAACGGACCGGGCCGGACCTGATATTTTCTCGGGCCGAACCTGAAGTCTACATAAAATCTGAAAAAAACGGGCCGAGTTCACATTATTTCCCCGACAGACTGATACTAGTCCGTTCGCAGAGTCACTGTGCGGAAATAAAAGCTTGTTCATGCTGCGAAGATCACTCCAGCGACTTTGCAAACCGATAAGTAACCAACTGCGACGAGGCGAGTTGCTGCGGAAAAAGCCACGTTATTTTCCCGACATACTGATATTTCAGGTACCCCAAGTGCGACGCCCAGATTTTAATAAAGCTTGCCACAAATTTAGAATTATTTTTTTAAGACATATGCGAGGTTTCTAGCGTGCGTTTTGCAGAAACAAACCGAGATTTTTAGATTGAAAGTTGGAAAAAATGTGGCACTTTTTTTCCAATTTTGGCATGAAAATTTTCGTAGTTATTTATATCATAGAGGGTAATGTTTCCACAAAAAATCATTTTTTTTCCGCGCGAAACTGGCAAAGATATGGCCAAAAAGTCTTTTCTCTGACCGTTCTCCGCGTTTCGCGTACTCTCCCTGTCACAAATATCGTTGAATATCTTGGCTTCGCCTGCAAAGTGGGAGCTGAAATTTTCAGGAATTGATATGTGGTCTATATTCAAAGTGTGTGCAGAATTTTAAGAAAATCAGAGCGTCGGACTGGGGTAATTCCGTAGATAACTTTTTTTTCAATCCAATTTGCAATTTTTAGGACTGCTTGTAACTTTTTACAACGGGATTACAAAATACAATTTTTTTTTGTATTTTTAATTCTTTTCTCCAATTTTATTTCCGTTTTTCCTTTCGAAATTTCGTTCCAAAATTCCCAGAGATTTTACCCGAAATCGGAGCGCACTTCTCGCCGCGCTTCGAGTGGAAATATTACTTTGATCGTCTTCATCGAGAAGCTCCCGCGCAAAATCAAGATAAACAAAGGGGGATATTCAAATTAATTTTTTTTCGGGGGTGTATGCAAATTTTTTTATGGTGAAAAAATTGTTTTTTTAAAGAGTATTTGTTCTTTTTTTTGAGAATATTTTTTTGAAAATTTGATTTTTTGAATTTGCAGAAATTTGAATATGCAAATTTCTTTGTTTTTAGTTATTTAAAATTTTTTTTTTATTTTGAGAATTTGAATATGCATTTTTTTCTTTCAGGTTCTTGGAGATGCATTTTTCATTCTGAAATTTGAATATGCAAATTTTTTAAGATTTTAGAAATTTGAATATGCAAAATTTTTATTTTCAGATAATTAAAAATGCATTTTTTTTATTTCCGGGTAATTAAAAATCCAGTTTTTTATTTTGAAAATTTGAATACGCAAATTTTTTTAAATTTTAGAAATTTGAATATGCAAATTTTTGTATTTTCCAGATGCTTAAAAATGCATTTCTTCATTTCTCGATATTTAAAAATCCATTTTTTATTTTGAAAATTTGAATATGCAAATTTTTTAAAATTTTAGAATTTTGAATATGCAAATTTTTGTATTTTCCAGATATGTGAAAATGCATTTTTTTTATTTTTCAGTATTTAAAAATCCATTTTTTAATTTGAAATTTTGATATGCAAATTTTCTTAATTTCCAAAAATTTGAATATTCAAATTTTTAAGCATTTTTAACGCGATCCGAATGATTTTATTATACAAAATTGCTCCATATTTTTTTTATTTTTTTTCATTTTTCAGATCCCCATAAAAATAAAAAAATTATTCCGATTGCACCGTGCAAATTTTGGAATAGATTTGTAAAATACGGTTCGAGTAGCTGTTTGAATTTTCTCAACAATAAACATATGACCTGATGAGATCACGACAGCAACATTCCAACCAACCGCCGCTGCCGCAGCACTTTGTGGAATCGCTGCAACGCCTCTTCAGCTTGTTGGACGCACAGTGCGGCGGGAAGGGGAAAGTCCCGTTGGAATTGGTAAGAGATGGGGTAAACGCAGGATAATTGTTTTTTTTTTTGACTACAAATATTGTAAAAAAGTCAAAAAATAAAAAAAGATTTTTGAAAAAATCAAAAAAAAAAAAAAATAAAATAGTAGAAAAAATAAAAAATAAAAATATTAAATCAAAAATAAATTAAAAATCAAAAAAAAAAATCAAAAATAAATTGAAAAATCAAAAGATAATAAATAAATAAAATAAAAGAAATAATAAATCGTAAAAAAATTTAAAATAAAAAAAATAAAATAAAAAAAAATTTAATCAAAAATAAAATGAAAAATGAAAAAAAAATCAAAATAAAAAATTAAAAAAAATCAAAAAAATAAAACAAAAAATAAAACAAAAAAAACAAAATAAAAATAAAAATTTTAAAATCAAAAATAAATTAAAAATCAAAAATAAAACAAATTTAAATCAAAAATAAATTGAAAAATCAAAAAAATCAAAATCAAAATGAAAAAAGATAAAAAAATAAATAAAAAATAATAAAAAAAAATTTAAAATCAAAAATAAATTAAAAATCAAAAAAATCAAAATAAAAAATTTTAAAAAATCAAAAAAAAAAAAAAAATAAAAAAAAATAAACAATAATAAAAAAATTTTAAATCAAAAATAAATTAAAAATCAAAAAAAATCCTTATTTTTTTCGTTTTTTTATTTATTTTTTTATTTCAGATCGCATCTCAATGGCAAAATCTTCAACACCAATTCCCCGCTGGCTTTCTGGAATGTCTGGGCCGTGTCGCTCCGCCTGACGGCCAACTGACATTTGAGAGATTTTTGGCCGGCTTCCGATTGGTCATCTCCAATCGGCAGCGCACGGTGCGCCTGAAAAGGGTCCGAAGCGAGGGAAAGTTGGATGAAATTGGAAAGTAAGTGAAATATTATTGTAAAACAGCGATGATAAAGTTTACTGGAAGAAAGGATAAAATCTTCTCATTTTGTTTTTGCACAGTGCAAAATTACAGTGTAAAAAAGCTTAGGTTTTTGCACAGTGCAATTTTCTAATTGAAAAAAGCCTACGATTTTGCACTGTGCAAAATTTTAGTTGAAAAAAGCCTATAATTTTGCACAGTGCAATTATATAATTGAAAAAAGCCTATGGTTTTGAACTGTGCAAAAATTTAGTGCTGAAGATACTTGGTTTTTTTTGTACAGTGCAAAATTTAGTTGAAAAAAACCTATAATTTTGCACAGTGCAATTTTGTAATTGAAAAAAGCCTATGATTTTGCACAGTGCAAAAATTTAGTGCAGAAAATACTTGGCTTTTTTGCACAGTGCAATTTTCTAATTGAAAAAAGCCTATGTTTTTGCACAGTGCAATTTTTTAATTGAAAAAAGCCTATAATTTTGCACTGTGCAAAATTTTACGTTATAAAAAATATCTCAAAATAAAATTTTTGAAACTTTAACCTTACCCGTAGCACTAAAAAACAAATAACAATTAATTTCTCTCCCAAAAATTTTTCACTTTTTTCTCCATCGTCAGCAAAAATTCCCGAAAATTTTCGCTCAAGAAATGGTCCTTTAAACGCTGTTGTTCTTGCTCGCAACTCTTCTTTATTTGTCCATCCGAAGCGATCTGGGGATGCGGTGGGAAAAAGTGGGGGGAATATGACCCGGAAATTTTGTAAAAAGAACATTATTTTAGTTTATTTGGGTTAAAGAGGGGATTTTCGGATGAGTAAGGGGAAGGTGGGTATTTTATAAACTGAGATTTTGAGTCATAGATGGGAGGAGTTTTTTAATTTTTGCACAGTGCAGTTTTATAGTTGAAAAAAGCTTACAATTTTGCACAGTGCAATTTGCTTGTTGAAAAAAGCCTACAATTTTGCACAGTGCAGTTTTCTTGCTCAAAAAAGCCTATGGCTTTGCACAGTGCAGTTTTCTTTTCAGTCTTAGTAGCCTATACGTTTGCAATGTGCAATTTTATTGTTGGAAAAACCTAAAATTTTGCACTGTGCAATTTTCCTGTTGAAAAAAGCGTATGACTTTGCACGGGGCGGTTTTTTTGTTGAAAAAAGCCTAGAATTTTGCACCGTGCGAGTTTTTCATTTTATAGTTCGAAAAAGCCTACAATTTTGCACTGTGCAGTTTTACTGTTGAAAAAAGCATACGTTTTTGCACAGTGCAATTTTCTAGGTTAAAGAAGTCTAAAATTTTGCACTGTGCGGTTTTCTTTTTCCAAAAAAGGCCTAGAATTTTTGCACTGTGCAATTTTCTAACTGAGAAAAGCCTACAATTTCGCACGGTGCAATTTCGTAGTTGAAAAAAGCCTATAGCTTTGCACTGTGCAATTTTCTGATTGAAAAAAGCCTATGATTTCGCACTGTGCAATTTTCTAATTGAAAAAAGCCTACGATTTTGCACTGCGCAATTTTTTATTTTAGTAGATGTAAATTTTAGGGGAAATTGGGAACTAAAAATTCTAAGGATAGTTACAAATTACTGTGATATATAAAAGTGAAGGAATAAGACCGACTTTGGAATTTTGAAAAGACACTAAACTCGCTTTCTCGAGCTTTTTTCTCACGTCGGCCCCATTTTTTCCATTTCAATTTTTCAAAAAAAAGCGAGGAAAGCGTTTTAAACGTTTTGCTTCGGAACGACCGGTGCGATCTTGCTTCTCACTCTTATATGATATATCATCTGATAAGGTATTTTTGTTCATAAATTTACCTCTCAAATCACCCAATCTTATTCCAGCTACGCCCGAATTCCCGCAATGGGCGTGAACGGGCTCCTGGTCGAGCAGCATCGCCCATTCTCCGCGGCCAGCAACGCACGCGCCCTGAAAGCCCAATACGGCTCGCAACCCGCCCTCAACGCCAAATACGTCCAGCCTCCGGCCCCAATTTTGCGGCTACCCGAGTCGCGCGAGAATTATTCGCATTACGATTATTTCAAACCCGAGCCATTCCGACGTCCCGCCAGCGCCGGCGCGGGCCATTTGGTGCGGGCTGGGACCGAAACAAACACGACGACATCGGATTCTTCGCCCACCGACAGCAATAATTACAGTGTGGTGATGAGAAGTCGGAGCAAGGTAAATTACATTTTGATGTTTAAAATTCGAAGGGAAGTTTCAACATTTTTTGTTTGTATTTGATATTATTATTATATTATTTATTTTTTTTGCACTGTGCAGTCTAAATTTTGCACTGTGCAGTCTAAATTTTGCACTGTGCGGTCTAAATTTTGCACTGTGCAGTCTGTGGAGTCAGAGTTTTGCATAGTACGGACTCAATTTCGACCAAAAAAATAAAAAAAATCGATAAATTTTTTATTACCAATTTTATCAACCAAATCATCAAGATTTAAATTTTGCACAGTGCGGAGTCAATTTTTCACTAAAAATCGGGCTGCACTGTGCAATATGGAAAAAGGTCGAACTGAAAATTCGAAAAATTGCTTTTTATTGAATTCGAGCTGTGACAATTTTTTTATTACCAATTTTATCGACCGTAGCATCAAGATTTAAATTTTGCACGGTGCAAAGCCAATTTCGCACTAAAAATCGGACTGCACTGTGCAAAAAATTTTAAATTGTTTTGTGAGCTCAAAATGCTTATAAAAATTCAAAAACTGGTGGAAAAACTTTCTTCAGGGTCCAAGTAATCCATCAACAAAGCAGATTCGTGCTCCAGCCCCTCCACAGACCAAATCCGTTCATAGTTTACATCAAGTTTTGAATGGAAATCGCTATCGGCCGGCTTCGCTGACCTCTTCCGGCAGTGGATCATGTGAGTCTTTGCGTTAGATAGCTCTCATTTTTTATATAATCGTATTTTACCACAAAAATAGTTTGATTTTTTGTCTAATGTGATTTTTTAAAAAAAAATTTCTAATTTTTCAATTTTTTCATCAGCTCCGATTTCCTTCAAATTTTGCACACAATGCGAGGATAGGCCACGTATCAATCGCTGAAAATCTTAGCTCGCGATTTGCAGCGAGAGCCGAGATATTTAGCCAACTTTGCGGCCGAGAGAGCAAGCGAAATGCGGAGAGCAGTACAGAAAAAACACTTTTTTGGCTATATCTTTGCCAGTTTCGCGCGGGAAAAATAGATTTTTTGTGAAAACATTACCCACTACGGTAGAAATAACCACGAAACTTTTCATACCAAAATTCGCCAAAAAATGGTCAAAATTTTCCAACTTTCGACCAAAAAATCTCGGTCATTTCTGCAAAGCGCGAGCTCAAAATCTCTGATATTCCTTCGCAAAAATTATTCTAAATTTATACCAAGTTTCATCAAAATCTGAGCATCGAATTATGGTAATTGAACCCTCGGTTTGTCGGGAAAATAATGTGGATTTTTTGCAGCAAAATATAGGATAGTTCCCTCGTAAAATTTCCTGTGTTTTTTTCAACTCTTCCCCTCGAAAGTTCTCCAAAAATTGCGTCGATGAGTCAACGATCACCCTTATTATAGCGCCTTACTTTCAGCCGCACAATTTGCGGCTTCTTAATCGCCCCCTCTGGAAACGGGATTTCCACCTCGACGAATAATAACTTTTCCGCGATTTTCGGGAAGACATTACGGCTTCTCCAGAAGCTCCGAGGGATCGTTAGCAGGAGCGTTTTTGGGGTGATTGAAGATATTTTACAGGCATTTTAGGCAATTCAAATTGGATATTCTAAGGCTTGTCAAGATGCCAGGGTTTACTTTAGCTCAAAACAAACCTTTTGAATTGGTAAAAACTTGGTCAAAAATGCATTTGCGTGGTGTTGCGAGAAAAGTTCGGGGGCCTTTTTCGCCCTTACAAACCAAAATTGAGCTGCTAATTTTTACATATTCTGACAGGGGAACTACTCCAAGTAAGACCCTCAGATTTTGATGAAACTTGGCATAAATTTAGAATATCTTTCTCTAAGATATGTATATCCGAGAATCCTAGGTCGCGCTTTGCAGAAACGACCAAGATTTTTAGAACGAAAGTCGGCGAAAATTTAAGACTTTTTGCCGAATTTTGGCACGAAAAGTTTCATGACAATTTCATTTTTGCCAAAAAAGTTAGGAAAACCATTTTTGCCAAAAAAATTTAAAAAAGCATTTTTGCAAAAAAAAATTAAAAAGCATTTTTGCCAAAAAAAATAGAAAGCATTTTAAGGGTTTTTTGCCGCAAAAAAGGGTTTTTTTGCACGGTGCGGCTCACAAAAAAAAAGCAAAAAAAAGTCTACGCACTTTCTGCCAGGACTACTAGTCTTTTCATAAAGTGCATGGACATATTGTTGTGTGTGAAATGCACAGTGCAAATGTCGATGCACTTTATGAAACCGCTAATATCTCGCATGTCCAAATAGTTGCAAAAAAACAAGTCTAAATTTAGCCAAATTACTATTCAAATGTCACTAAATACTCGAGCGTTGCACTTTTCCCACTCCTTCCAAGTAGTATGAACTATAACATTATTATATTTCAAATCGACAACACTGTTTCTAGGTTCCGGTTCGAGTGGAATGGCCGAGGTGCGTTGGACCAATTCCCGTCAGTCCTCCTCCAACTCGCCGCCCGACTCCGGCCCCCGATACGCGGAGGAGCATCAGCATCAGGTGGTAGGTTTACAATGTATTTTATTGCGGGCACAAAAGAAGAAGAATTCATTTACTCCGAACATAACAGCTTATACGTTTCGCCGACTACTTTTTGGCGGGTCGAAAGCCCTTCCGCGAGATCGCCACACTCCGCTTCTGCAGCGCGTTCAGGCGGTAGATGCCTTGCTCGACGAGGTCGGCCTGCGTCGCCAGGGGCACTGAGCGTTTCCCGGGTCTGAAAATTATGCGAAATTAGAGTCGTAGGGAAACATTAAGGCCACAAAAAGCCGCAAAGAGGGTCGCAGCGAAAAATTAAGGCCAAAAATGGCTGAAAAGAGCGTTTCAGGGGCCGCTGCGGACTCTTTAGAGCCCGCTGCAAGCTCCTTGAAGCTTGAGGCTCTAGCGACGCCTAGTTACAAGTGACAGCCTAGTTACAAGTTCTCAAAACTGGAAAATTTTTCCATCCGATTCCCTTAAAAAACCCCTTAAAACGAAAACTTGGGATGCCAATTTTGAGTTCTTGGCATTATGCAACAATGATGTATTTGTGGCTCTAATACATCTATGAAAGCGACGAACTTGATCCAGTGGCAAAAACCGTACTTTTTTGTATCCAGAAAGTATCAAAAAATGTGGCAAAATGCCTCCCTTTCCAACTAAAAACATCCGTCTTTAAGGTCCCTCTCAAAAAGAGCGCGCTTTTAAAATCCCAGTTTTTCACATGGAAAGGGAGGTATTTTGCCACATTTTTTGCTACTTCCCGGATGCAAAATGATACATTTTCTGCACAGTGGATCAGATCTGCCACTGTAGAGCCGGCAAAATTGCCTACCTGAAGTTTAATCGGCTAAGCGCCACACTCCTCTTCTCCATTCGTGGGTCGGGCTGGGAAAACACCTCCGCCCAGTCGGGTTCTACCTGTTCTTGGGGCTGCATGTACAGATATCTTGCATTTGGGTTCTCTGCTGCCATCTGAAAACAAAATTATGAGCTTTGAGAGATTATTAGCTTGTTTTGACGTCAATTTATATTAACCATGACTTCAAAAGAGGCGATCGGAAAAAAATCGATCTATCGTTGCGCTACAATGTTCTATGGCTTTGTAATGCATCTTATTCTGTAGAAAGAAGCTTATACTACTAGATAAAACTTTGCAAACAAGTACTTTTCCTCTCGGCGACTGAAAAAATTGCAAATTACATTGTACTAGACGCAGCTCCCGGTGGCTCAAAAAATGGCCTGTGAATTGCAAATCAATCCCTAAACTATGTATTGTTTGATGCCGCTGGGTCAAATAACACTTAGACTTTCAAATAAATGAATGACAAAAAATATCGAGCGTATCAAGTGTCAGAATCATAATAATTTTATTGTACTAGGTTCAAAAGTTGAGGAATTATAAAAAAATCGTTATAACAAAACGGCAGACAGAGTTTTTTGAAAGCGATGACGTGAAATAGATACTAGACAGCGCTGAAAAGCCTTGAGAATTTGGACATTGTGGATTTTGTCGCGTTTTGGCTACGAAAATTGCAAAAGAAGTGCTTATTGTTAGCACAGTGCATTTTGACCCAAAAATGCAACTTGAACAGTGCATTTCAAAATTTTTTGCGATTCTCATTCTCGCAGCGACAACTTCTTTCCTTCCAAAGCGCGACGAAATTCGGGGGTGCTTTTTCGGGCCGTATAGTATACACATATTATACCACACAATGACAGACCAGATCCAGTGGCAAAAAACGTGCCATTTTGCATTCGGGAGGTATCAGAAAATGTGGCAAAATGCCTCCATCTCTAACTAAAAAAACTGCGTTTTGAAGGGTCGCTCGAAAAAATAGCGGGTGCGTGTTTTAAATCTGAGTTTTTTCACTTGAAGAGGGAGGTATTTTGCCACATTTTTTGATACTTCCCGGATGCAAAATGATACGTTTTTTGCCACTGGATCAGGTCCGCCTCAGTAGCCTTATGTAGAGCATTAATTTCGCGGTTATTGGAATATCAGTTTGTCGGGAAAATAATGAGCAAAATTTCACATGGCTTTATTGAAATGAAAAGCAATTTGATTTTGTCGCGACACATTTTTTTCTCTGGTGTTGCGATTTTCGATGCGACAGAGTGCTCGTTATTTTCCCGACAGACTGATATTTCAATAACCCTTTTTATGTCCGCAATTTCACCAAAAAACTCAACCAAAAAACTCACCAAAACCACCTCTCCGTCCTCCGCATTCCTGCCGGCCGTGTGCGGCGCCGCCTCGATCAGCATGACCATGGAGGTGAAGGCGAAAGTCATCATAATTCTGGGCCACATCTCTTTTGAAAATGGGTTCGCGGGTGCTCTGGCCCGAAGTTGTACAATCTGCAAGCAGCCGCAATCGCACACCCTTAAATATGGGCCCTCGTCACGCGTCGAGGGAGGAGAATAAATGGACTTGGGGTTTGCACGAAACGCCGAGGTAAAGCCGCCGCAATGTATAGGTGTTTATTACAACCGGTAGGGATTCTGGAAGCGGGTGATGCAATTCTCCCGCACGCACGCACAGGACATGGGAAATGTTTTTTGGGAGTGACGAAACGCGTCGATAACTGTGATGCGTTGCAAACAAGGACCGCTAAGCCGGTTATCTTGAGTTGGGAGAAGGTGCAGTGGGAGGAAAACAGATCAAATTAAGTCGATTGTGTTGTTAGAAAGACCTGATTTGGGGAGTATTGCTTATTATGAAATTTGAGAGAATTATTGGTTTATGTTAAAAAAAATTTTTTGCACAGTGCAATTTTGTTGAACAAAAAAGCCTAGGGTTTTGCACAGTGCAATTTCATAGTTGAAAAAAGCCTAAATTTTTGCACAGTGCAATTTTGTAGAACAAAAAAGCCTGTATTTTTGCACAGTGCAAATTTCTAGTTGAAAAAAGTCTATATTTTTGCACAGTGCAAATTTTTCTGCTGAATTTTTTTGCACAGTGCGGTTTTTTAGTTGAAAAAAGCCTACAGAATTGCACAGTGCAATTTTGTAGAGCAAAAAAGCCTAGATTCTTGCACAGTGCAGATTTGTAAAACAAAAAAGCCTAAATTTTTGCACAGTGCAATTTTATATTTGAAAAAAGCCTACAGAATTGCACAGTGCAGACTTGAAGAACGAAAAAACCTAGACTTCTGCGCAGTGAGAATTTATAGTTGAAAAAATAAGCCTAAGTTTTTGCACAGTGCAATTTTATAATTGAAAAAAGCCTACGGTTTTGCACCGTGCAGTTTCCTAGTTGAAAAAGGCCTAAATTTTTGCACAGTGCAATTTCATAGGACTAAAAAGCCCATATTCTCGCACAGTGCAATTTTGTAGAACAAAAAAGCCTAGATTTTTGCACAGTGAAATTTCAAAACTACATGGATTTTCATGACGTGCCCTGAGGCAAAATTAAAGTCGTAAAACTAAAGTCGATGCTGCAAACGGACTGACCACTCTATGTTTAGTAGGCCGACATTTATATTGCGGACTCAGCAAAAACAACGCCCCCAGTAATTGTCCGATCGCATGATAACGGCAATTTTGGCATAATTGCAGTGCAAAGTGTTTTTTGGGCGAGGTCAATGGGGCTAAATGGTCGAAATGACGGTGACGATGCGGTCTGAAAAAGGTCGATTTGTCGTCAAGATGGATGTTTTGCAAAAGTTTTGACGTTTCCGTGCGCATTCGTTGCGATTTTAGAGCGCACTGTGCGTTCGATTGCCCTTTTCAAACCAATTTTTTGCACTGTGCGGGATGGCAGTGCGTCGTGAAGTTGGTTTGTCGCGGCGCGACAAGTTTTTCGAGCGACAGCGCACTGTGCAAGAAGCCGGAAATTGCACCGTGCAAACGACTTTCTTGTGGTTTGCACTGTGCAAAAAGGGAAGAATTGAACTTGTCGCGAATGCACTGTGCATTTTTCATTTTGCACAGTGCGCCGTCGCTCGAAAAACTTGTCGCGCCGCGACGAACCAACTTCACGGTGCACGGCGACGCCGCACAGTGCAGAAAAATTGTTTTGAAAAGGGCGATCGAATGCACAGTGCGCTCTTTTTTTGGACCCCGCTGGATTTTTATCGCGCGACAAATGCACTGTGCATTTTTCATTTTGCACAGTGCGCCGTCGCTCGAAAAACTTGTCGCGCCGCGACAAACCAACTTCCCGGTGCACTGCGACGCCGCACAGTGCAAAAAATTGTTTTGAAAAGGGCAATCGAATGCACAGTGCGGTCTTTTTTCGGACCCGCCCATTTTTTTATCTCGCGACAAGTTGTCGCAACGCCGAATTCATGCACCTGCACAGTGCGGAAACATGTCAAGACTTTTTGGCTCACTCTCCGCAAAGTGCATGGAATTTTCCCGCGGGGTGCGTTCGCAAAAAAAGTGCATCGCTAGTGCAAAAAAGTGACGTCACAGCGTGCGAAAAAACACAGAGCAAAGGGACTATGCAAAATTCTCCGGGCATGGGTTTTGTGCAAATTTGCGTATTAGAAAATCCGATCATCGTACTTGAGTTCCTTCCCTTCTAAGGGCAATGACGTTGACTAAAGACCCAAGAAGCCCAGAGACTTACTTGAAAACTACGGTGGCCGCTTAACTATAGGCGCTAGCGCGGAAACGCAAAAGCAGTCAAAACAAGCAACTAATCCGCAAATCTACCTCACCCTGCTTCCATGTAAAGGCCCGAGTAAAGAAATACAATCTATATATAATACGAAATGCGGCGCTACAACTCCGCGCTCCCTACAATCCGTCCTTCCTCCCATAAATACTAGTGAATTGTAGCATCAATTGTAGCTTTATGAGGAGCTGAATTGTAGCTACTTGTAAAGAAAAAGATTCAAAAAAAGTGGGTTGACAAAGGAACAATGCCATTCCATATTAAACTCGACCAATGTTTGCCCGGTGGGGGATTTGTAAGCGGTTCGAAAGTGGGCCAAACAATGGGTTAGGGCAGAAACTGTGGTCCAAATGTGTAATGGATACGTTGGAGAGAGGGAGGCGACAAACTAAACCATGACGGGATGAATAATGTAAAATTAGGGCAAACATGGCAGTGTCGGGAAAATAATGTGGATTTAGCAATCTGTCCGGAAAATAATGTGGATTTCTCAGTCTGTCGGGAAGATAGTGTGGATTTCTCAGTCTGTCCGGAAAATAATGTGGATTTAGCAGTCTGTCCGGAAAATAATGTGGATTTGTTCAGCCTGTCGGGAAAATAACGTGGATTTTACGGCATGTCGAGAAAATAATGTTGATTTATCGGTCTGTGCTAGCCGTCGCAAAGCGATGATGGGGGATTTCAAGCTGCGATCAGTCCACATTAATTTCCCGACGGAGTGAGATGGCAGTCCAAAGATATCAATATAGATCTCTTTTTTTTGCGAGATTGATCAAACAGTAGCTAAATTTAAAAAATTCTAGGCTAATTTAAAAACCAAAAAAATTGCAGTGCAAAGATACATAGGATTTTTCTGAATTATTTTTTGGTGCACAGTGCAAAAATATAGGCTTTTCTCAACTAGGGAATTGCACTGTGCAAAATTCTAGGCTTTTTTCAACTGCGAAATTGCACAGTGCAATTATACAGTGCAAAGATTGGGTTAATTTTAACTACGCTTTTGCACAGTGCAAAATTCTAGACTTTTTTCAACTATGAAACTGCACAGTGCAAACCTATAGGCTTTTTTTAACTACGAAATTGCACAGTGCAAAAAAATTTGCTCAATTCAAGCTTGTCGCTTACAGTGTGCAATTTTTCCAACCCAACCGTATTCGAATACAACCCGAGAACATCACAAACCAACTGATACTGCTCAAAAACCCTTGGCGAAACCCGGAAACGCCGTCTGAATTGAAATTCTCAAATTTAAATTTATTCCGCCGAGCTCAGCCGGTCCGAGTTCGAGCCCGGGGCTTTATAAATGCGTGCCGCACATCCCAAGGCCCGCCTCCGAAAGCCGCTTATCGCCGAGCGCTCGCGGATAACGGTGGGAAATTTCGTATGCAGCTGAATGATGAGTTGTAGACGCAACAAGATTACTCGAAAATTTGCTGGAGAGACGTCTGAGGAGATAAATAATTGGAAAACTTGAACGTATTTACTTTCAAAATTACTGTATAATGACGAAATCGCAAAAAAATCTTACTGTAGAATACAGAAAAGCAAAAAAATGACAAATTTATTGTATCTAGTCCTAGAAAAGCTCATAAAATCTACAAAAATTACTTGATTAAACTAAAAGAAAAAGGGGTAGAGTATTAAAATCCAGTTTTTCTTGAGTATTCCTCGTAGTATTTGCTTTTGAAAACACAATATTCCCTTTTTTTCGGGGCAATTCCCCATAAACTTTGGGTTTTACGAACTCTTCATAAATTTCGAAGCATATAAACTTGGATTCCTCAGCTGGAGAAAAAATAGACGCTTATTTTTCTATCCCTACAATGCCGAGTGTAAAATCCAACATAAATTTTCGCACAGTGCAGTACATTTTCCGGCTGCACTGTGCACGAAAAGTTTGTCAAATTTCGCACAGTGCAAAGTTCAATATAAAATTTTTTGCACCGTGCAGTAAATTTTCCGGCTGCACTGTGCACGAAAAGTTTGTCAAATTTCGCACACTGCAACCTCCAACATAAAATTTCGCACAGTGCAGTAAATTTGTCGGCTACACCGTGCACGAAAAGTTTTTTAAATTTTACACAGTGCAAAATCCAACAAAAATTTTCGCACAGTGCAGTAAGTTTTAAGACTGCACCGTGCACGAAAAGTTTGTCAAATTTCGCACAGTGCAAAGTCCAAATAAATTTTTTTTTGCACCGTGCAGTAAAGTTCCACTGCACTGTGCATAAGATTATGCGATAAAACAAAAACGGCCTCCGCACAGTGCAAAATTTTTCAAGAAAAACATCCACTGCACTGTGCAAAAATTCTTCTAATAAAAAAGCCTCTGCACAGTGCAAGATTTTTTTCTGACAAAAGGTCGCTGCACTGTGCAATTTGTTCAAAAAAGCGGCCGCGCAGTGCAAAAATTCTTCTAAAAAGTTTTGCACTGTGCAAAAAAAATGCCAAAAAGCCTTTGCACTGCGCAATTTTTTCAAAAAAAAGCATCCGCACTGTGCAAAAATTCTTCTAAAAAGTTTCGCACTGTGCAAAACTTTTGACAAAAAGCCTCTGCACTGTGCAATTTTTTTCAAAAAAAAGCATCCGCACAGTGCAAAAATTCTTCTAAAAAGTTTCGCACTGTGCAAAATTTTTCAAAAGAAAAACAGTCTGCACAGTGCAGAAAAATTTGCCAAAAGAAAGTCTC